CTCTGAGTCAAGCGACAGCTATGGCGTTGGGAGATCCTAATGATATGGAACAGGCCCGCGACCGGATAACATATGGATTTGGACTCCTTGGGAAGACAACGTAAGTGAAACAATTATGGTTTGTGGATGTTATCAGTTAAGTCATGCATTTTACCTTTGGCTGCCTAGTTTGGGGCTAATGAGGATATGTACACATGCAGGTGAAGTAATAGCCGACATGGTGCACTGGGAGCAGATCCTTATGATGTGCAACATGTCCACTTCTAATAATATGTTTATGGTATTACTAAGAAAATCTTTGAACAATCTGTATGCTTCCTTAACCTTTTTTTCATATGATAACGGGATGGATAACTATGGGACTATTGCCTTTGTTCAGGCCTCCATTACTTTGTACTATTCAGGCCTCAATTATTTTGCATTGTTGAAGCCTCAATTGCTTTTAGCGTTGACATAGATTAACGGATCAAAAAAATGCCTTTTACATACCAGTTAGTTTAGTCGTGTCATTGTCTCATTCTCAAATTTGCTTCTTATTTATTCATGAAAGCTGCCATGTATCAAACCATTCTGAACTTCACTGTGACGATGTCCATTTTTTTCTCAGCCCTGGACTCAATGCATGTTGGGGGAGCATCACACTTGGTCCTTACGGCTAAGCCTCTCTGGATTACATCTGCATGTAAATTCCATTATTTCTTCTCTGTGTACTTCCCAATTCATGCTTTTCTCATTTTCAAAAAAGGTTACACACTGTTTATGATCCAAACCTAAATCATGGCACATGCTCAATGAGCACAACTGTATTTTTTTCTTATTTGTGACAATGTTTTTCTAAACGGTAAACGGTCTTTACACGGTCGCCCTTCGTTTAGCGTTTAGGCTGTTTACACGGTGTTTAAACGAAGTTAAATGGTTTGAGCGGTTTTGTACTTTAAAAAAATACATATAATTATATATGTGCATGTAAAAATCAAGTATTCTAGCATCTATACATATTTATCCGAGTAAAAATCAATTATTTTGGTATGTATATATATTTATGCACGTGAAAAGAACCAAATATAGATATTTATGCATGTAACATATCAAGTGTACACATTTATAAATATAATAAACTTAAGTATACAAATTTATCCATACAAAACTGAACTAGATTTACCTCGTGTTCGCCTAAACAGCCGTTTAAATAGCTGTTTAGCCCGTTTAATACTGTTTATCTCCGTTCCGTTTAGGCCGTTTAGACCGTTTTTCCCGTTTTTTGACCGTTTAAACGGTCAACTGTTTGATTTTCGCATACCCCTAAACAAAACAGTTTATCAGTGTTTACCGTTTAGTGGCCGTTTAATCGGCCATTTAGGCCGTTTAAGCGAACACTGATTTGTGATAACTCCTCTGCCCTGAATGCATTACCGTGCTGCTACCAGAAATAAAGCAATGTGTACCTTTGCTAGGTTCCTGTGAGGTAGATTCATATGACGATAAAACTAGAGACTCATACTTTGTTGTACTTATCAGGTCTGGAGTTCAATGGTCCACACAGGGAGGACCTGAAGGTCCCTGATCCATCTGTAAGCTATTGTTGAGTTGAATTTGATTCCATTTTACACATTGGTGGGAAATATATCAGAGTTTTTGTAGCTATTGTTGCGTCGAATTTGTGCAGGAGTTATCGTCTTGCTTGGAGCAAACAGGGGGAGCTCAGTCAGCTCTAGAACGCCAACGCATAGCCTGCCTGCGAGGCTCATAAGCTGATATGATGGCATTGGTTGCAGGTTTACAACGGGCTTTGGTTTAGCTAGACTTGTCACTTGTGCTCATGTATCATATGGGTTTGGGTGAAATTGTGCCCAGCATCAGCATGATCCATGGTTAGGAAATTTCTTTGTTTCAGCACGCAACACACACGAAGGGTGGTGAAATTGTAGTAGCGTGCTGCAGTGCACCGTGTGAGTCAAAGTTGGTAGCGTGATGTAAATTTGAGCATAATTACATGATATTTGTTCATTACATGTTGTATTGGACTGGTGTTGTACTTAACTGTTTCATTGATATGTAGCAGAATCAACCATCAGCTGGTGGTGTTTGATTTTGAAATCAAATTGCATTTAATGCTACTGTGGGGCCATTTTTTTGAATTCAATTGGTTGCTGCTGCAGTCGGCTGAAGTTTGCCTGATGCTGCCGCTTTTGGCTGATGTTCTCACTGTTCCAGTTTCAGCACGCACCAGCCAAAAAGCAGCCAGCCCTACGGAGCCAAAGCCTCCACATAAATAGGCTGCAGAGAGAGTGCGGCCTTCACATGAGGAAGCGCCTCAGGGCGCATTTGCGACCCTGGCCCAGAGGCCCGGCTGCGCCCGTGGGCTGCAAGTTGCCATGTTTGTGGTCGATGGCCCGCTAGCGAGCCTGGCTTCACAGAGCAACACTTGACCTCTCCGCATGGCTCTCTGGAAACGACCGAAACCCTCGTTTCTTCAGAGCCGATCTCGTCTGCGACGCACGCGGGCGATTTTGGGCGGCGGCGGGGTGGCTCGCGTGGGCTCTGGCGGGAAGGGGAAACGTCTTCGCGCGCGTCCCCGCTCTCCGCTCCCGCTCTGGCCGCCGCGCGCGAAGCGAAATGGCGACGATTTCGCCGGCCTTTATATACGGGTTCCCACTCTCCACTCTCTCCTTCTTCCACTCGGTGCTTGCTCTTCCACCTCCCTCGTGAGAGACCGGCGGTGAGTTGTGGTGCGTGGCGGCGGCGGCGACCTCCGGCTGGTTGTGGGTTAGGTCACCGGCGCCGAGTTTCTTCGCCGCGTCCCCGCTCCGGCTGCTGCTGGGACTCCGTGGCAGCGGTGTTCCTCTTCTTCTCCGTCCGCATCTGCTTCGTCTTTTTCCCGATCTGCATCCTCTACTTCCAGATCTGCCTCCTCTCCGTTGTTTGGACCCCGAGCCAAGGTGAAATCGACCCCCAATCTTCTTTTTTGTGGTGCTTCTTGAACCTATTAGGGTTTCTTGTTCGTTGCTGTTCATGATCTGTTAGGGTTTCATACTTGTTATAACTACTTCATGCTCCTATTGGGGTTACTTGTACCTTGCTGTTCTTGATCTGTTGGGCTCGTGATCTGTTAGGGTTGTTGATCTGTTTTAGATTTGTATTGTACCTTGCTGTTCATAACTATTTGATGCAGTTGTTAGTGTTACTTGTACCTTGCTATTCTTGATCTGTTAGGGATGTTGATCTGTTTCTGATTACTATTGCTCGAAGTTTTTTGTTCCATCATTGGTCGATGATGTTGTCCACATAGTACTGGGAGGCATCACATACAAGATGCAGCCGTGCTTTTGTTGGCATGCATTCATTTCACATTGATGTTGATGCCTAGCAGGGTACATTAAGCTGAAATCATGTTACATTTTTACATGCTTGTAGATGGATCTGTCTTTGAGCCGTGACATGCTGTGTAGGAAGGCAGCTGCCTTGACTGTTGTTATGGTTACCTTTGTATCCACTAGGCTGAAAAGGAAAACCCCTGAACCTAAAACCCCACTGCCTGATCCTATAGCACTGGCCCTGCTTAGGGATGAAAATGAAAAGCACAGACAGAGAACACTGAGAATGATATACAATTCCACTGATTCAGAGTGTATTTCTATGATTAGGATGAAGAGAGTTGCTTTTTTTAAGTTAGTGAGAACTTTTAGAGAGAGGAGTCTTGTCACTGATAGGGAGGGGGTGTCAGTAGAAGAGCAGGTTGCCATATTTTTACATGTTGTAGGGCACAACCAAAGATTTAGGGTTGTCCACCAGTCCTTTAGGAGGTCCATCCAAACTGTCCACAAGCACTTTCATCAGGTGTTGTATGCTGTGGGTGAGCTTAGGAATGAAATGATAAAGCCAGCTAGCACTACCACTCACCCAAAGATTCTTGGAGGCCATACATGGAATCCATATTTTAAGGTAATTGTATACCCTGGGTTCATTAGTTACATTAGACCTGTTGCAATGACTGACCCATGCTTTTTAGGATGTCATTGGCTTTATAGATGACACTCATTTCCTAGCAAGGGTTCCTAGGCGCATGCAACAAGCTTTTAGGGGTAGGAAAAAGGATCCCACCCAAAATGTGATGGTAGCTGTGAATTGTGATCTGAAATTCACTTATATCCTGGGTCGGCCGGGAGGGCTCTTGCCATGATGCAACTGTTTTGGCAGATGTCAGAGCTGAGAGAAGATGGCTTGAGTTTGCTGAAGGTAATTGCACACCAACACTAATTACATATTCCATGGCCTATTAACACACACTCTCACAGTAGATGTCTTGTGTAGGTAAAATGTTCTTGGTAGATGCTGGGTATGCATGCAAAAATGGTTTCCTACCTCCCTACAGGGGGGTTAGGTACCATTTGTCTAAGTATGGCCCAAGGAACAGGCCCACCAATGCAAGGGAGCTCTACAACCTTAGGCACTCATCACTTAGAGTGACTGTGGAGAGGACTATAGGTGCACTGAAGGGTAGGTTTAGGATCTTGGACAACAAACCCTTCCACAAGTATAGGACACAAGTGAAGCTTGTAGTTGCCTGTGCCATTTTGCATAACTGGATCCTAGGTTTTGGCATTGATGAAGTAGTGCCTGATGAGGAAGGTTTCACTACTTCTGCTGATCCAACCAACCTGCCCCCAGCCCATCTGGACCAAGACTCTGTTGACATGGCTGAAATAAGGGATGCCATTTGCAATGCTATGTGGGAAGGGAGGGGAACAAACACTAGTTGATGTAATATGTTCTTGAATTTAGTTTCTGTACCCTGCTATGGAACTCATGTGTGTGTCATGGTGATGTAATAATTTGGTGGACGAAGATGAGACCAATTTTATGCTTCATTCATTCTGTTCTTGAAACATTCTGTTCTTCATGATCTGTCAGTCTGTGGTTAGTTCATACAACTGTTAATATTGTTGTTAGTCTGTTCTTGACTAATTCTATTGTTGATTTCATTACATGCCAGTCCTAGGATGGATTCAGGTGCATTTGAGGGTGGGTTTGTTGCTGGTACTTCAGTGATGGAGCAGCTCATCAATGGTGGTTCTGCCCCTGTTGTAGCTGGTGCTGGTGCTAGTGCTGCTGCCCCTGTTGCAGCTGGTGCTGGTGCTGCTCCAGGTGCAGCAAACCCTGTTGATGTTGCTGCTCCTGTAGCTGGGAATGGGGCTGTGCGGGCAATGAGGTGGACCAACACCACCTCTGGCTTTGTGCTAAGGAGGATGGCTGCCCTTGTTAGTGATGGTAGCAGGCCTGAAAAGGTTTTCAAAGACAAAGATGTGAATTCTATGGCCAAAGCCCTCAAGCAGTTCTGTGGGGAGGTTGTTAGCCCAACTCAAGTGTACAACCACTTGAGGAAGTAGAGGCAGAAATGGGCTAGGGTGAGAAAGTTGAAGGACCGTAGTGCTGCTCTTTGGGATGACCAGGCTCATGCTATCATGCTTGAGCAAGAGCACTACCTTGGCCACTGCAAGGTAGCAGTTCGATCTCGTCTTTGCCTTGACTACCTACATTTGCCTTTCTTAAACTACATTTGCCCAACTCTGTAGGACCATCCTAAAGATGCAGAGTTTCTTAACTGCCCTATTAGGTTCTACACTGAGATGGAGGCTATCTTTGCTAATGCTATGGCCACAGGCAAGTTTGCACTTGGGTCTGGTGAAGCCTTAGGGCAGAACCAGGCTGACAGTGTTGGTGCCAAGGCTGATGGTCCTCCTTTGACCCACACCACAGTTCCCAGTGAACAGGGAGGGGATAGCAAGGCCACTGAACTGCTTCCTACCTCCTCAGCTGCTGGCCCAAAGAGGAAGAGAGGGAACTTCTCTAAGGAGGAGATGCTCATGTTGACTAACATGTCAGATGCTGTGAACAATGTGGCCAATGCTCTTAGGGAGACTGGGCCTGCCCATGTTGATGCCAATCTGTACCTTGCTGTGATGGAGATGCCTGGCTTTAGTGAGGAGGCACTTATTGTTGCCTACACCTTCCTCCTGGACAACAAGGCCCAAGACAGGGGCTTTGTGAACATGAGTGATGCCCACAGGGCCCTTTGGCTTAGGACCTTCCTGGCAAAAAACTACTATGTGTAGTTCCACTACACATGAAGGGCTAGAAGGCCAGGAGGGGGTTGACTGTAGAGATGTATAGTTCCTCCACCCCCCCTCACCCACTCTCTCTTCTTTTGACAATAGGACCTTTTGTGCAGTCTGCTTGTTCTTTTGACACCTGACCTTGATGGTGTAGTTTGCCTAGGAGGGTGGCTAACAATAGGCAAGGATTTGGGAACATTTGAGCCCTTGGCTGTTGGGCTCAACTTGGTATTGTAAGAAACTTATTTGTAGCCTCTGTTGGCTACTTTTTATTTGATAACTAGTTGTCTATTTTTGTTGTTTATGTCTCTGGTGGTAACTGTGGGATTTAAAGGCCTATGATGCATAAAACAAACTTGAGGTGGCTACCTTATTCTTGTTTTGATGGTTTTGTTGTTGTGCTTTCTTCTTTATTTGCCTATCCTTCCATTCTACACTTATGCTCAGTTGTACTCCACAGCAACAACATCCTCTTGTGATGGCTGATGGCAGTGAGTGCAACTGTTGTTTATTTGCCTCTTTATTTGGTTCTTACAATTCTTGGTAGCCACCAATGACTAAACAAGGAAAATAACAGCTGAGGCTAATTTTTTTATCAAGTTGCCGATGATGTTCACCATCATTCAAACTGAATGGTCGACTGAGGCATGTCATTCAGACCACTTACATGTTCTACATTTGGTTGGTTTCAGAGAATGCCTCCCTGCTATGTGGTCTTTGAAGGGAAGAAACCTGGGATTTATTTTACATGGTATGAGTGTGCTAAGCAAGTGCTTAGGGAAGAAGGGGCTATCTATCAGAAGTACAACAACTATGATGATGCTCTTAGAGATTTTAATGCAAGGGTACCTCAAGAACCCTTGTTGTTACCAATTCATGCCCCTCATGGGGATGCATCAGCATCCCATGAACTGGTGACAGGTCAAGGTTCTGAAATCTATCCTCATTCACCTGGGCTGCAAGGCTGTTGCAAAAATGTTGTCATCTTGATCTTGTTTATGGTTGTAGTTGGTCTGTCACTCAAGCTGTTCATGTGCCACAGCTGTTGTTTTAATTAGGCCGATGATGACACAATAGGATGACTGCATTAGCTGGCTACATGCTTTCTGTTAACTTGTTGCCCTTCTCGGCTTGCCAAACTGTTAAATGTTGTATTTTGGCCAATGATGACACAATGGATCGATGCATTAGCTGGCTACATATCATTTTGCTGCCTCTTATCTGTTTCTGTGAACTTTTTCGTTTGTTGGCTTCAAAACTTGACTGACCCATGCTTCTGTTCTTCTTTACTGACTTTGATTATCCCATGTAGCCAGTAATGCCATGAATTGTTAAATTAGCATGTCTGAGGCTAACTATTTCATGCTGAAACTTTTGATTTGTTGTTGTAACAGTTATGGAAGAGCAACTTCATTCTCCTTTCATTCATGTCCATTTCTATTTGTTGTTATGGGCCTAGCCGACCACAGCCAAATGACAAACACTATCTCGATGTGGTAGTTGGTGGTGGTTAGCCTCTCAGCCCGACTACCTCTTCAATGACAAACACAGCCTCGTCTGAGCCGGGCTCACTGGATACACAGGCGCAAACAACAGCTGTTGCACCACTTAGGATAGGCCTGCCCAGGCCTAGGCCAGTTGGGCTGGCCAGGTCGGCCAGGTATAGGGTCGCAAACACGCCCCCAGTGTCTCAAGTTCGATACGTGAGAAGAAAACACAGCGAAGATAGGTTTTTAATGGCGCCGAGATGTCAAGCTGAGGGACTGTTCTCACGAGATCTTTTTAATGTACTCACCACTCTGAGGAAAGAGAAAAAAAAGCACTTAGTACTACTAGTACAGTAGTACTGTTCTCACGAGGTGCCAATTTCATTTGACCATTGGAATGAAAAACACTGTGGAAATTTTGGACCACTCGCAGCTATTGCTGAATAAATAATAGTGCAACTAATATTAGATTACTTGGGTTGATGGCGATGACATACATAGGAGAATAGAACGTAGTAGACGGCAGACGGGTTTACCTACCATTCTTCATGGAAATTTTCCTCATTGCGGTCTGGGAGCTTTGGAAAATCAGAAATACGCTGGTTTTTGTTGGAGTTCAAGCATGCTTCAACACATGGCTCAGAAACTTCAAGGAAGAAGCTGCTCTTCGGTCTTTTCGTATTAATGACACATAGAGTTCTAGTTCGTCTCTAGCTTGACGCTCTATAATTTTGTTTTTTCTCTTTATGTTTTGTGGTTGTATAGCTCTCCTTTCTCTTCCTCCCCGTTGTAAGTATTTTCCTAGACCTTTGCTCCTGTTTTTTTTATATAAAAATTTTTGAAAACACCGTGGGGAACTCTCCCATGGTTTTTGCGTCAAAAAAAAAAATAGTGCAACTTTGTGAAGTACTAATACGATGATATCTCATGAGCCACTTACAGAAGCATGTTAGTTATGATCATCGGGAGAAAAAGTAAGATCATGTCAAGAAAATGTAAAAATAATTAAGTTTATATAGATAGTTTATAACTGCTAAATATTTTGTCAGGGGGCCAAGTTGGTCGGCTTATGGTTAATCATTTTGCTCTTTTGGATGGCGTCTCGTGGTGATTTCATTTCGGTCCGAGAATCTTGAGCTGGACTGTGGATTTTGTACGGTAAACTGGAGTGGCTCGCTTGAATTGAGTGCCTTGGTAGCTGTCTGACTGCAGGACTTGTGCTTGCTGCATGTCTCAAAGCTGCCGTTGATGGCTCCTGCTCTCTCTGCGGTTGATGGAATTCGACGACCTAGGCGGCTGGGCCTGAGAATGGTTCCAGCTCCGTTTTTTTATTAAGTCCACTTTTGACCTCTCAACTATCATGTTGGTCTAATTTTGACCCTCAACTGCAAAACCGTCTGGTTCAGGAACCTCAAGTTTGAAAACCGTTCATTCTTGGCATTTAGACACGGTTGTGGCTGTTTCATGCCGACGTGTACTTGGTTTTGACTCGTAACGCTGGCTTTGACCGCCACATAGGACGCACGCACGGAGGGATAGCCACGCTCGCAGCCGATTTATGCCGTAGAGCGCCGCCTCCGTCGGACTCTTCGCGCGCAGGCCGCACCTCCTCCGCCGGCAACTGCGGCCCGCTCCCCGAGCGCAGGCTCTCCATCGGCGCGCTGCCGTCATCATCTTCGTGGGCGCCGCCTCTCGCCATCGCCGACACCCGCGCCCTCCACCCCTCGCCCGGCCTCCCCGACCCCCTCCACCGCCTTCGCCTCTTTGAAGCGCTGCCGGCCGGAGGTGCTCAATGAGGACACCTACGTCGACGGCATCGAGCGCATCATCGAGCGAGACTTCTTCCCGGACCTCCCCCGCCTCCACGGCCGCCTCGATTGGCTCCAGGCTTTGCGGTCCTGCGATCCGCTCATCCTCCGCAATGAGCAGCTCAAGATCCTGGACCACCGCCGCCACCGTGTCCAGCGCCGTGGGATGGGGCCGTCCCCACACCGAAGCCGGCCACCTCCACTGCGCTCCGCTCCCCGTCCTTCCTCACCACCCCCGCCGGATCCGTTGCCGGCATAGTAGGAGCACCCGAGGGGGAGGACAACGTCGCGGACGCGCTCTCCCTCGACGGCTTCTTCGTCCGCTTCACCTCTCCCTCACCCTCCGGGAAGAGCATCCAGCGGCGTGGGTGGAAGCGCGGGTCCAGCAGGGCGCGGCCGCGAGGGGAGGCGGCGGCGGCGCGCCAGTGGGAGCAGACCGCGCGGAAGCAGAGGTAGTCTAGAAAACCGCTCGTGGCGAGAACCCGCGTCGAGATGAGCTGCGTCAGCTCGACGTGGAGCGTCTCCCAGTCCGGCGCAGCCTCCTCGTGCTCCCCGCCACCGCTGCTCAAAGAAGAGCCATGCCGCAGTGGCCCGACGGCCATCCCCTACGCCGCCTGTGTTTTCTTTAGAAACCACGTCAAGACCGCGCTCGCCCCGCTTGCGTCGTGCGTGGGGATGTCGAAGGCGACGGCGAGATTGGGCCTCTCCGCCGTCTCCACCTTCTCCTTCGGCTTCCTCCTCGGGATGGGCAGCGCTCTGGAGACGCTGTGCGGGCAGGCGTACGACGCGGGGCAGCTGGACCTGCTGGGCGTCTACACGCAACGGTCCATTGTCAAGCACGCGGTGGTGGCGGTGGTGGCGCAGTCGCTGGCCATGGGGCTGGTGGCCATGGCGCTGGTGCTGGCGTACCGCAACAGCTTCATGGTGCTCTTCACGGGCGACCGGGATATGCAGGCGGCCGTGGGGAAGGTGGTGCACCTTCTGGCGGCGACCATAGTGCTCAACAACGTGCAACCGGTGATCTCCGGGGTGGCCATCGGCGGCGGGCCTACATCAACCTCGGCTGCTACTACGCCAGTGCAGTTCGGTTGAGTCGATGACGCGTGGGCCCCACATTGGACAAAACCGCTCTATGTCGGACAAAACAGTCTCACCCGCGTCCAGTGCTAAAAGTGAACGGTTTTGACAGTTGGGGTAGTAGCATTAGACGGTTTTATAGTTGAGGGTAAAAATTAGACCAACATGATAGTTTATGGGCTAAAAGTGGACTTAATCTTTTTTTAATAGAAAAGAATCGCCTCCAGCTCCAAGCATTCGCCGAGTTCGCGCGGTAGCTAGGGTGTCGTGCTGAACAGCGCAGCAGTTTCAACGCTGAATATGAAGCACGTGCGAAGTCGCAGGCTCGCTGCGGACCAGCTGCCACGCGCCTCTATTCTCTACCCAGCCGCATGTTTGTTTGGCTGTGGCTTATCATAAACGATCGTAAATTTTCAACCGAAACATTATTTTTCTCTCACACAAATCAGTCAGCAGTACTTATTCACGAACCAATAACAAAACGAACCAGCCAATCGAATAGGCTAGGAGTAACTAGCTTCAGCAATTCAATTCTTGATTAAGACACGTTCAAAAGTCACTTTATTTTAATCACAGTACAGTTTATTGGCAATTTGGCATCGCCAGCATCATCACCATGGTGCATTGG